TAAACTCATTTAATGTATTCAAAACTGGATTAGCTCAATATGTACATACGTACGTACATCATTCACTTAAGTTGTCCTCAAGCAAATGAATAGGTACATTACATTGGGGTGCGTGGTCCGGAACCTCCTTGTGGTGCACCCTGGGCAACGGGGACGGCAGCGCCTCTCTCCCTAGGTGGGGGAGGCGCTGCCGCCTGCGGCCAATTCCGGCCGAGGTGGGAACGGCCCGTCAAGGGCTGTTCGGAGGGCTGCTTTCCGCGTGTCCCTCTGTTTGGCAGAGGGCATAGGGGAGAGCGGGCTGGGGGCGGACGGGTCTGTCCAGAGGTGGTGGACACTGGTCTGACGCAGACCACCGTCCGGCCATGTCGTAACCCTGACTGGCAACGGTCAGGAATGACGGCTCTTCGAGGGCTACGAGGAAGGCAACCTCTATAAAAAACCCATAAAACCCGGTCTGGTGCAGACCCCGTCCGGCCCAGCCGTAATCCTGAATGGACAGGACCGGTGGATCTTCGGATCCGCGAGGACGTAAACCTCTATAAAAAATGCTCTAAGCCCACGTTCTGACGCCTGGCAAGGGGCTGAGTCGCTGGAGGGAGTCCAGTGCCGAAGGCGTAACCGTCGAAGGACGTAAAACTTAAAAAATGACATGAGGCCAATTATAGAGAAATCTACCCAGGAGGGTACCGGGCACACAGTGTCTGGGGAATCCCTCCCGGAGCCAAAGGGCTCCGGCAGCTCCCAATCGTATTCTGGGGGGAGCACCGAATGTCGAACCTGCCCGTCGCCGAGCAGTAAATCCGGCGACGTTATCGCGAAGGACGCGAAAAACCTAGAGGTAGTGTCGAACACCGACACTGCCTCGGAGATGAGCGGAGCGAGTACCCCTATGGTCTCAGCTGCGGAGCAGCACCAGAAGGGTACTCCAAAGCGCAAAAGGCGCTCGCTTCGCCTGGGCCTGAAGAGGCAATTGGAGTCGGCCTCGAGCGATGAAGCCTCGGTTCCCAAAGTCGGCACAAGCCGCAGAGGCGCTCGCGGCGGAGGCCGGCTCCCCAAGGCCATGGTGGCCCGGAAGAAGGTGACGGTCATATCCGCGGCACCAGAAGAGGCCGAGGATGCGAGTCAGAGACCGAAGGGACAGGAGAGGGTCGCGTCCGGGAGGTCGATCACTGGTTTGGGGAGCGAAGGTGGGGTGCTGGCCTCGATGAGCTGCGAGGCAAAATCGGCAACCCCGTCGACCGGATTGAGGTAGCAATCGTCGAGGCCGATTGCTTGCTTCGGATGTCCGGGTTGGCCGGGGGCCCCCAACAGGAGGCCCTGGTAGCGGTCGTGCGCTCCATAATTGAGGCGGGCAGACTCCTCGTGGCCGAGAGCAAGGCCCACGCTAGGGAGAGAGCCCGCCTCGAGGCGGATCTCGCACAGGCTCGTGCCCACGCTGGTGCCACACCAGCGCCTTCGGCACCGTTGGCGCTGTCCGCCCCGGAGCCGGAGCCGGGCTTAGTCCGACTCATGGCGGAGATGGAGGAGCGGATAATGAGGCGCATCTCCGCTGTAGTGAGCGCCCGTTGTCGCCCACCTCTGGCTCCGCCAAGGGCAACCTATGGCAAAGGGCAAAGGCAAAGGGCAAAGGGAGGGGGAAGGCGGCCCCAACTCAAGCCCCAGTCTCGGCCCCGGCTGACACCGCACAGCGCCCGTTGGAGCGAGGCTGGACGGTGGCCGGCGACAGCAAAAAGAGGCGGAAGGCCGCCAAAAAAGCGGCCAAGAAGGCGAGGAGGGACGCCGCCGCCGCGAAGGGAGCGCCGAGGAAGCTCCGCGCCCCTCGCTCCTCGGCCGTCGTTATCACTTTGACGGCGGAGGCAGCGGAGAGGGGCGTGGGGTACGCCGAGGTCTTGACGGAAGTCAAGGCCAACGTGGACCTCAAAGCCCTCGAGATTCCGGGCGTCCGGTGTAAAAACACACGGACGGGAGCCCGGCTCCTCGAGGTAGCCGGCGCTACAAGTGGCCCCAAAGCCGATGCCCTAGCGGCTAAGCTGAGGGAGTCACTGGATGCAGCTGACGTCCGAGTGTCCAGGCCCACTAAATGCGCCGAAGTCCGCATCACGGGCCTGGACGACTCTGTCACGGCGGACGAGCTCAGACTCGCCGTGGCGGAGACGGGAAGCTGCCCTCTGGACAGCGTGAAGGCCGGAGCAATACGCTTCGGCCCCGGTGGACAGGGGGCAGCGGTTGTCAGCTGCCCCATCGCGGCGGCCCAGAAGGTCGCCGATGGACGGAGCCTCCTGGTCGGAGGTTTCCTGAGGGCGCAGGCACGACTCCTGCAGGCCCGTCCGGCAAGGTGCTTCAGGTGCCTGTCGGTGGGGCACGTAGGGGTGCACTGCACGGCGGAGGCCACCGTAGGTGACCGATGCTTCCGCTGTGGCCAGCCCGGTCACAAGGCGGGTGGCTGCAACGCTCCGCTGCGTTGCTTTAGGTGCGCAGCGGGGGGCAAGCCTGGCGACCACCGGGTTGGTGGTAAGGCCTGTGCCCTATCACGACCGAAGCCGGAAGGCCGACCTTCCGCCTCCGGGCCGCTGATCCAGATGGGGAGTGCCGCTGGACAGCCGCAAAGTTCGCTGCGGGATGCGGGGATGGAAGTCCAGTGATGGATCCACATCTCCGCATCCTCCAGGTGAACGTAGGCCACGGTGCCGATGCTCAGGATCTTCTGCTCCAGAGCATGGCACAGTGGTCCATCGCCGAGCCATATGTCCATCGGTTTCTCGGGCCTGCCTGGGAGACCGACTTGGACGGCACGACGGCCCTGGTGCACGGTACCGCAGCCGGCACTCCACCTCTTGCAGTAGTTGCAAGGGAACGGGGCTGTGTAGCGGCGATAGTTGGAGACATAGCGGTCGTGGCCGCTTATTTCACGCCGAACCGAAACCTAACTGAGGCCTGAGGGTGACAGGTGAGGCCATCTGTCACCCTAGCAGAAGCAGGCCGGGGTGGCGGCGAGCGCGTTGCGAAGCGCGCTCGCTTCCAGGGAACATGGGGTTCCCACACGGGGGGGGTCGTCTACTCGTCTGTAGATGACCCGAGGTATGTCGGGGCACCAGGGACTTCCTTTCTAGGGTATACCTGGTTTTAGTCGGTTCGAGTCCGACATGCCACCGAGAGGTGGTATCCGAGGGGATTTCCGCACGGAAAAAAAAAAAAAAAAAAAGGTACCTACCTACCTTCTTGCGCGGTAAACACATAGATCGTACCTACATATAGATGAGTAGAAAAAGTAAGTTGATTATTAAGTTGTAGAATAATATGCATTTATTTTTTTACTTTTTAGTGCATATTAATTTGTTTTGGAATAGGGGTTTTTGAAGTCGGTTTATTTTTTGTTAAAAATTTTTGTTTATTAAAATTATTATCTAACTATAATATAGAAAATAACAACAACATACAACAAAACAGTTTAATTTTCTTAGATTCGAAGAGCGATCTCCAGCATCTGGCTCGGTGCTCCTCGACAACTTGAGGGACTCCGATAGCCTTTAATGTAATGCGTTCTATACAAAATCTAGTAATGAATAATAAAAATATAACGCTGCAGTGGATACCTGCACAAGTTGGATTGACCGAGAATGAGGCAGTTGATAGATTGGCTAAAGAATCACCGTTGATGATTTAAACTCAAACTCAAAATATCTTGATTTCATAAAATTGTTTGAAATTGTCTTTTATGTAGACTCTAATATTTAGCAAAATAAATAAAATAAAAATAATATTATCTAAAATCTATGATATGCCTGTGCCGATCTACAACCGCCCGTTTCCAAGGGGTTGAGCCTTATGAGAGAGCCTACGCAGAAAGGGCAAACAAACTCATGGCCACTCTTTTTTAATTAACAGTACATATACATATACATATTTATTTCATTAAATTTCTATTTCAATGAACAACGATTGCCTAAATCGCTCTCTTTTGCAGCACAAAAATAGTAGAATACCGTACGACATTATGCTATGAAAATAACTGAAGTAAACTAGTAGTTCTACATCTACATCAGTCAACTGCGTATGGTGCTGCGCGGAGTCTACTCGATAATTTATTAATATGTGGGCCCACTGTAGCTTAGAATCTAGTGCTTTACCAAAAAATGTCGTAGTATCTACAGGGTCTAACCCTACATCCTTAAACATCAAGTAGTTTCCACGGGCTTGACGTTTGGCGTAGTGAAAGAATATTTAACCACACATTAATTTTTTGCTCAATTTATGTCATTCTTTTTAATTATTTTGGTTGTTCCAATATTCAATAATTCTTTTTTTTATTTTAAAATAAAATGTATTGTACCAAACGAAAATCGCAATGTTATGAACATACACCAAAAAAAGGAACATGTCTGAAAGCGGGCGTTAATAGCTGCATCACAGTTTTTACTACTGCAGCTATTACCGTACTATTGTATATTGTACTTGGTAATAATACTCCATAATAAAGAAATAAAAAATAAGTAAACTTTGTTAATCGTTTTAAGACGGTATAATGGAAGAAGTTGGGGCTGGGACATACCCTAAGTCTCGCGCGCCTATATCTGTCCTGTTATTCAAGAGGATCTGGGAAAGGGCCATTTCTTGACAAAATATCTTTTAAATAAGCAATTAATATTATTTTAAATTAAATTAACAACCACATCGTCATTAGACAATAGTTGTAAATATCAGTTCGGAAGATCTATTACAAAATTAAATTACAAGGTGCATTTAAACCTTAAAGTTTAAACCCGATATGTACTTTAAAATTGACAAGCCACTGTAAATATTTTCTCCATTTATTATTTTACCGTAAGAAGTGTAACAGTATAATTGTACTTGACGTCTACGTTTGTGAAAACCGTTGTTACGATCAGTTGAATATTATTGAACCATGAAAGTGTTTATAAACAATTTTTTATTATCAGGTCTAAATAGATTTTCTAAACTTGTACCTAACTGAAATCCAATTAATATGTAACAAGACTCACCTGTCTGAAGAACGGAGCCACCATATCAACAAGTACTAATTACTAATGTTGAAACTACAATGATTTACTGCCGCTATCAGATACCGCACAATACAATATAACTGTATCGTCTCATTAGTACAATATCGTTTTTTAATCACGTGAATCAAAATGATAGTATGGTAAATTCGTCATCGCAATGACGTAAATATGAATTATAAATATAGAAAATGTTCATACAACAAAGCAGTTTAATTTTCTCAGATTCGAAGAGCGCTCTCCATACTCCTATATATATATATATATATATGCCATGAGGCCATCTTCTCCCAGTCGACCTTCAGGCTATGTAGAACTATGATGCGGTAGGTCCAAAGATAAAGTATTAAAGGACAATGGCAGGAATGTATGGGAGTTCTGTGATTATTGTTATATATATTATCAACAATTACAGTTTTAATTACCAGATTTTTAGAACTTTGCGTTCAAAAGTTATTTCAGTTTGTAGTTTGCATACAGGTTGTACTGAAGTCGATACCAATTACAGCTGGCTGTCACAAATAATTTGTCACTGCTGTCAAAAAGTTAACCTAGATATTTTACTCTTACTTATAGATATATTTCAAAATCATTCATATTTTACGAAAAGCCCACAGTAGTGGAGGGCAACTATCCAGGTGATGAGGATGAAAATTTTGCCGTGTGGAACGATGACGAAAAGTTGCGGCTAATATTAGTCGAACAATTCCTCGGAGCACTCTCCATGATATATGCGATAGAGAATGCAGAGTGAAGCTACATCTCTACGTAACGTTAAGGGATCGAGCCGATCGGAGTAGTTTGGGCTATTGACGATTCGAGTCGCTCCTCGTTGGATGCAGTCCAGAGGGAGAAGCTGGTACTGAGGTGCCACCTGCATAGAGATGAGAACAGTATTCCATATGCGGCCGGACTTGCGCCTTTTAGAGCTGATGACACTGGGCCGGCGTGAAATACTGCCTTGATCTGTTCAGCACACCGAACTTCTTCGAGGCCAATTTGACCTTACCCTCTAAGTGACCCCGAAACTGCACTTCGTTAGAAATGTCGATGCCTAGGATGCCGATGCTACTTGGTCTAATCTGTACATTCAACATTATTAAAGTTATAACTTCTTATGGGAGGGCAAACGTCTTCGTTACGTAACGCGTTACGACGCCAGTCTGCCTGGCTTCCATTTCTCTCACGCATATGGCAGCGGCAGGCAGGCGCCTCCTCTCTAACTCTAACCCACAGCGCTAGCCGTATTTCTGACACACTCTTTACATAAAATTTAAGTAATAACCTAAGCTTTTCTCAAGTTAAACAATTTCAATATTAAATAGTTCAACTTAGATTAGTTTAAGTTATCACTTCTGTCCCGAGACGCACACGTTTTTTTAAAATTTAATTTATATTTTATGCATGTCAAGTTTAGAAAACGTAGGATTGCGTTTTGCTAACAATAAAAACATTTATTTATTGTAGTTGTAAAAATTCTTTTAGAAGAATTTATTTACTTTTAGCAAAGTTCTAAAACTATAAAAAATACATAAAAATAGTCAGCATGAATCACTTTATAAACGGTACAAATCTCAGAACCATCCATCATATATTATCACGTGAAATGACGTTCTGAAAAGGATAATAGAAATGTTCGAAGTAAAAGGAAAATACAAAGTATGATATTCTATAGAGTAGGTATCATATGTAATTTCTAATACCCATAGATAACTTTCATATATATTTTAATGTCATACGTAGAACTCTACGTACTCGTAATTATAGATAGGGAATTTGCTTTCCTTTAGTACACACACACACACCTGGTTCCAAGGCTGTTGGTACCCGAGGCGGCGTGCGGTTTTTGGTCCGTTCAAGTCCGACATAACCACCGGTGGGTTATTCGAGGGGATTTTCGCACAGAAAAAAAGGGAATTAACTTTCCTGTTAAGTGTTTATTTGATCAAGGATTTCTATATTGCTAAAGGAACATCGATCGTAGATATTATTCAACGCAACGGTCTTAAAAAGGAGCGAACGTTTTGAAGTAGGTATTTCTTAGGCCCGGGATTCTCCGACAGTGTGAATTTAAAGCTATCCATTAACAGTTAAAATACTTTATTAATTCAGGTTACAGCATACACTTGTGAAACCATTGCAAGAACAAGACTGCCTCGGTGGCGCAGTGGTAGTTTATAATACTGTGCTGAGGTCTCGGGTTCGATGCCCGGGTCGGACTAAATGTTTGTATGATCTGCAAATATTTGTTTCGGAGTTTGGGTGTTCTCTATGTATAATATGTATGTATTTACAAACAAGAAAGTATACAAGTATTCTATCTGTCAATCTAGCTTTCATAGTACAAGCTCTGCTTTATTTGAAAGTAGATGGCGTTGTGTCAGATGTACGAAATATTATTATTATTATAATTAAAAATTAAAAGAAAAATAATTAACAAAAAAATATTTAATAAAAACACGCAGAAACGCACAGAAACAAAAAAATTAAATAATAAGCTACTACTGAACAAATAGTTCCTTCTCGTAAACATTACATTTATATCTATATATATTTATACTAGCTGACCCGGCGAACTTTGTTCCGCCTTTCCTTAGGCAATAAATGAGCAGATTTTGGATTTCATTATATTTTTATTTTATCATATTTGTAATTACAACATCATATAGGTCTGGATCGGCTTCGTGATCGGGAATCTCCTGGAAAACCTCCGGGAAAACCTGAGAATAGCTAGACAAAATGGTAACCATGCTATAATTAAAAATAACAAACTGTATATAAATGGTAAAGAGTACAAAAAAAGTTCCCCACAAACCACAGAAACGTCCCAGTCCCAGATACCAAATACCGAAAACAATAACTGCAGAACGAGTTTAGATAGCAACAACACTACAACCAACAAAATACAAACACCATGGCAGCCACAGCCAGCAGCGCCAATGTCAACACAAAGGAAAACCACTCGTAACTATAATTTTCGATACTGAACTAAATGTTATCTTTCAGAATATACAAAGTATAGGCAATAAACTTCATCTAGTCGAGCACTTCCTACAAGACTTAAACATAGATATATTGCTATTGTCAGAAGTATGGAAAAATAAGAACTATTGTGATATGATTTCGTTGTCTGGATACAGAATGGCTTCCACCTTTTGTCGTAAAACGCATGAAGGGGGAGGTGTTTGTGCAATTATTAAGGATAGTTTAGAATATCTTGAGTGTCAAGATATAAACAATTATAAAAAGACTATTCACAGAAAGGAACATATTACATTTTAACACTTCATTAAATAACATAAAATGGCACGAAATAATCAACACATACAACAATTTAAACACCAATTACGATTTATTTCTCAATATATTGACTAAATTACTTAATACACATATACCGATGAAAAAGCTGAAAATAAATAATAAACCAAAAAAAGAATGGCTCACTACCGGCCTTAGGAAATCATGTGCACACAAAAGAAAATTAAGGGCCTTTCTGAATGTGAATGATAATGATATTATACATAAATTTTATAAAAAGTATAGCCAAACCCTAAAGCGTAGTGTAAACATATCAAAAAACTTGATTTTTGTAAACAAATGGAAAACTCCGATAATAAAACAAAAACAATGTGGAATATCATAAATCAAAAAACAGGTAAACAAAAAAAAAGACACCCTCCACAAAACATATCATTAAAAATTAACAACCACATTGTAACATGTCCAACAACTATTTGCAACAATTTCAGTGAGTATTTTGCTACTGTGGGTATGGGCACGAATAACAATAAAACCAACAAAAACAGTGCGCTGGGTCGACCCGTCATAAACTCACAAATGTGCTCCATGTACTTGCGTCCTGTAGATAGAAAAGAAATAATCGACATAATACGCTCAATTAAAAATACACACAGCTGCGGCATAGATGAAATCCCCCCAATTCTATTGAAACAGTGTGCAGAAAAACTGTCAATACCGCTCACATTTTTAGTTAATCAAAGCCTTCAAGATGGCCAATTTCCAGACCCCCTAAAGATATCAATAATCAAACCGATACACAAAAAAGGCGACACCTACACACCTAGTCATTATAGGCCTATTGCTCTGTTACCCACATTTTCGAAAGTATTTGAAAAAACAATGTGTAACAGATTATACGATTTTTTAGAAAAATATAACATTCTCGATGATAGTCAAAATGGATTTAGAAAATCAAGATCAACTACACTAGCAGTATATAAGTATATACAGACTACCATAAAACATATAAATGACAAAAAACATGTACTCGGAGTATTACTTGACATGACGAAAGCCTATGACAAAGTATTGTACGACATTCTTTTGAATAAACTAAACGGTTCTGGTATTCGCGGCCCAGCTTACACATGGTTTCGATCATTTTTAGAAAATAGATCACAAATGGTCCAAATTGACCATTTCGACCCCAATACAAATGAGGTTAAAATAGTGCGGTCTGAAAAAAGGAACATAAAGTGTTCAATCCCGCAGGGCAGCGTGTTGGGTTGTGTGCTATTTCTGATATACATCAACGACTTACCAAAAGTACTAAACAAGGAACATACATTACCTGTCCTATTTGCTGATGATATATCAATACTAATTACTTATGACAAAACCACAAAGCCGACACCACTACTTCAGGAAACTCTAGATACAGTAAATAACTGGCTCAACGACCATAACTTAGAAATTAACTATAACAAAACAAAAACTATCCAATTTAGAACATACAGAAACACCCCCGTAAACATCGACACAACATACAATGGCACACAACTAGAAACTGTAGATACATTCAAATTACTTGGTATAACTATAGACACACACATCAACTGGAAAGCACACATCGAACATACAAAAAATAAACTGTCTCGATTTACATATGCTCTATTCCAACTTAAATGCAGCACAAACGAAAAAACCGCACTGTCAGCATACTACGCATACGCATACTCCTGGTTACGATACGGCATTATGTTGTG